AAAACTGCCAAATAAAAATGTTGTATTTAAGCGTGTTAAGTGTCAACTAAAATAAACCCAAATAGCTTTTATTAAACATATTAGATACTCGCCACTATTTCGTATTGTTTAATTTATTAATATTATGTTTAGTTATTAAATTTTCATAGCCTATGATATTTTGTTCGTGATTTATTTTATTATAAAGTGTGCGATTTTTATTATTATTTTGTTTTATCCGTTGGAAACTTCTCGAACAGAAATCTTAGCCCAATCAAAAAAAGGCAAGGATATTTTTTTACATTTTGAATTTGTATGGTGTTTAAGAAGGTCGTTTTTTGATTTTCTTCATAGTTGGGAAAAATTACGAAAAATCGGTTTCATTATTTTTCGGTTTTTTTTTTTTTTTTTTGTTTTAATTCGGTTGAAAATAATCATAGAGACCTGATATTTTTATATACTCCTTTTCTATACATGTTAAAAGTGTTAAAAAATTCTATCAAATTTTAAGTTATTCATAAACATTTTACTTTTTCTATTTTTTTTAGTACTCATTTGGTTTTATGTGTTTTATTGTTTTAGTCGAGCAGAATTACTTGAACCTTTTACATGAGGTTCAGCATAAGTTTTTTTTTAACAATAAGAACTAGTAAATCATTGATTATAAATTTAAATTAAATAACTTTATGTATCCTACCTTTGATCTTCACAACTTCTTACCTACAAATATTAGTACATTAGCAGTGTCAGCTGTTTGCTCATTTAATTGTTTCCTTTAAAATATTTACGATTTATCAAACGAACACGCCAAAATCGTACAAGGTACAAAATACGAGTACATATTATTGATTTCATAGCCACGAATGGACCCGGGAATGTGTTTGTTTTTTTTTTTTTTTTTTAGCGCTTTACAAAACGACACCGACGAAACCCATTGTGTATATAGTTCAGTTACAAGTAAATGGAGTACAACCATCAAAATAATTAATGTATACCTATAGTGTCTACCTATACCTACCTACCTATACTATATATTTTCGCGACGTGGAAAAATACAAGATTCAAAATTTCACAACTTCCGTCACGTGACAGGTTTAATTTACAACCCTTAAGGTTTACGCGCGAGAAATATTTCGTACCCGATTTTCCGAAATAATTTGTCCTCGCTTACTTATGGTTGTACTTTAAAAACAACTAATACAACTGCAGCAGTAGGAATATAACGTGAAATGAATAATGAGTCCGCGGCAAATCCTCGAGGATGATTATCCTATAGAAATGATTCAACTCTAGCGAAATCATTCCAGAAGATAATATTAATAAATAGAAACAATAAATAAACTATATCTGAAAGGGGAGAGGGGGAAAAATGTGCGGTAATTTATTGATAACGTCGGTTTTTTAAAATAATAACGCAAACAATAAGTAATAGGTATATACACATAATTATTCAACCAGATTTTTTTATGTAAATATAGGTGGTAAGTGTTATACCATAAAAAAAACAACCCTAAATTTATACCTTTTTCCGCTGGTTACCTTATTTTTCTGATTTGTTCTTGTTTAAGTCCAAGACAAATTTCACTCCTTCATTTACCGTAAAAGGCTAATAATTCTGTATTTTTTCCGTTTACTTCATTTCTTATCAATGTGGGAAGACCGCAAAGCGCGGTGATATCCAAAATGGATTCCTTCAGAATCTCCAAATTAAACCAAATTTATCATTGATCCTTATTTTCTCCATGAATATCCTAATAGTTTTTTTTTCTTTATTTCTTGTACAATAGTATAATATGATCTCACGCATACAGTTGTTCTAGTTCTTTATTGTGTCTAATTCACCACTCTCCTGTTCGTGCATTTATGGTTAAAAAATGATTTGTATGGTTATTTTTCTTATGAAAATCTACAATTTATTATCTTTTGATTTACCCAGTGTTCACAACTACATAAATTATTGATCAGATAAACACGTGATGAAATAATTGTAGGCATTTTTTAGTTTTTAAGGTTTGATTACTTCAAAGGTCGAGTCAATTTAACGCGAGTCAGTTAATTAAAATAATATCGTTTTAAATTCGTACCTACGGTCGGTATTTATATACCGACATAATCGAAATATAATTGAATTTTTAAATAAATTTCTGTGTAGAATTTGCATTTTTATAATATTGCAGTAGGTGTACTGTGTGCTTATACAGAGCAGCAACAAAATCAATTTATTTTTTTTTTAATAAATGTTAATATAAACTAATTATTTTGTCCGTTATTATTACGACATACAAATAACTAAAAACATAAAAAAGAAAAAAACGTTTTGTTGATAATAATTATTCTTTTGAGATAAATAATTACTGAGAGTACTTAAAAATTAAAAAAAAAAAAAAAATCATAAATTAAAAATAAACATTATGCTAAACGAAAAACGGACTGCGGCGATAATAAATTATACAATTTCAACGGAGAGAAAAAGTCAACATAGTATATAGTACGCTAAATATTATAAAAATTTCAATTATTATTATAATACTACTTTCGAATTTTCACGGAAACTTTAATATAATGCAATATTGTAAATTGTAAAAATTGAATTGAATTTTCCGATATAGCTGTAGTAATGAAAAAATTCTATTAAAATATATCCGGTTTTTCCTCAAACTGTTGATAACCTTAAAAACGAAACGTCTTAAAAACCAGTGAAAATTACACAGGTCATCAAAGCAAGAAATTGTAAATCAAATTTCAAAACAAACGTCCTTTATTGTTGAGTATACTGTATAATAATTCTATGGCTTGGTGCAATAAGGGCCAATGTCATTTTTTTGAATAAATCCGCAAAAAAAAAAAAAAGAAAGAAAAAGTGTACAATTGTTTATTTTCTGAATAAAAATTGAAAATTACACAAACATTTACGTTTAATAAAATACACAGAGCTTTATGTGGAATTAAAATTTCAAAGCCCATTTACCAACAATCACGAAATGTGACATTGACTCTTCTTGCACCAATAAGCTACAGAAATGTAAAACCCTATATTATTAGTGGAATAATCGATTTATTGGTTTTATATTTTTATCACTCGGCACAAAGATATTGTAATTCGCATAGACGTATGATAAAATATTTTGACAGGAAAACGGCGGCTGTTTTACGAGATTTCACCGATTCCGCCGGGCATTTGTATATTATGTTAATATAATAAATCCGCCGAATTTGTTTGGATGTTGGTTCCGCTGAACATTTGTACATCATGCAGTTAATATAAAATAGAATAAATCATAGATTAATAATAATGACAGAAAAAAAAAAATTATAAATAATCTATAATAATCGTGTGTATTTATTTATATCGTATTATATTTACCTGTGTAACATTTTCATTATTTTATTTTTTATTAAATCGGTTTTTTACACTATAACTGTAATTTCCAGTCAATTCATAACTAATCTACCAGTAATATACTAATAACCAATCTAAATTCTTTACGGGTACTCGTGTACACAATATACATGATTGTGCCTGCCGTTATTTTCAATTTAAACATTAAAATTAAAACTATTACACCATCTATTTATGAAACTTGTAATATAAGTGTTAGATGAAAAGTCAAAAGTAGATGTTCATTTCTCCCAAAAAATATGGGTGATAAAAATAAGGACAACGTAATGTTTTAGAATATATGATTCCAAAAAGGTTTTACGTAAATTATTATTATTATTTTTTTTTTTTTTTTATAAAAGTTCATGAAATATTTGACTGGATCATGAAATTTGAATTACCCTGTATATAATTTAAACATTTGTATTTTTGTATGCAATGAATTCGTTTATTATGTTTTGACCCTCTCCCACCCCTTGACAAATCTTCGTTGCGTCTCTATTGAGAAGCCATATTCAACAAACAAAAAATAATAATAATAATGTCATGAATCTTAACAAAATGTACTGGAACTAGAATATTATAAATCCGCATCAAACTATAACTGCAGTATTTACAAAATTATTATTTTATTATACACCATTTATTCCATGATAATATATACCTAGCATGTTTATGGTTCATACGAATTCATATGAAACTATGAAAATGAATTTCCCCACACGCGAATTTAAGTTGTAAAAAATATTATTTCATTAAGTTAGGTTAGGTTAGGCTTCACAAAACATAATATAGGAATATAATATTTTAATATACGGGGTGATTTTATATTATCTGCACGAACAAAAAAATATGTCGACGATAATCTGTAAATACAATTATTTATTTCTCGACCAAAAGTTATATGAAATCCGAAAAGTGGGTCGAGTAAACTCAGTTCCACCCAAAAATTTTACCAACAGTGATTTTTATTTTGGATATTGTCTTCCAAATTACTGTTTAAAACTATTTTATTTTAAGTTCATACATTTTCGAAGCGTAGCAACGATAAACGTATTGGTTTTACAATGTTTATTCCTTTTTATTTTTTCTGTGAACAACTTTTCTACCAGACATCTTGCTCTGATGTATCAGATTTAGCATTTTTTCTTAAACGAAATTTGATCTACTTGATATGTTCTTAAAGACGCCATTTTTTAATTTTTCAAGCGGTTTTCATAATAATTGGGGAAAACAAAGAAAAAAATATAGGGATAAACGAACAATTAATATTTATTTCAAAACAAATTCATGATTTTACATTTTTTATAACTTATGTTTTCTCCTAGAAATCCTACTTCAATTAAAATATGACAAAAGACCGTTTTTGTTAACGAAAATCGTAAAAATTTCGACATTCCAAGATATATTCTTACTGAACTTCGCTCCAAATTGTTTTTCGTTAGTAATAGTTTATTATTACTTATAAATATAAACAAAATAACTTTATATATCCTACCTTCCCAACTTTATTTCTCACTTACAACAGTGGCTAAGCCCGTCCCCAGTATCGGCTCTTTTTTTTTCACCTGTATAAATGAGAAGTCAATAATTGATTTCTCATACTAACAATATCTTCTTGGAAATTAATCGAAGTTCTAAAATGTTTTTAGACTTCAATAAACTCATGAAAGTGTCAGGAATTTCTACGGACAATAAATATTTAGGAAAGTTGAAAGTACAATGCGATTCGAGGAAAAAATATTTGCTACCGAATTTGCTATGGACATTGTCATCAGAATTAAAGGCATCGTTTTTAGAGCTAGAAGAAGTGTACAGACGAATTTTAATTATTCCAGTTTCGAGTGCTACAGCTGAAAGGAGTTTTTCAACGGTGGTGAGGAGAATGAAAACCTACAACAGATCAATCATGACCGGAAAACGCTTACATAGCCTTGTCCTCGCTCTGCTATCAATCGAAAGAGAAAAAACCGAAGAGTTTATAACATATCCGGGCGACATTTTAAATGTATTTTCGTGTGGTAAGTCAAGAAGATTACATTTTTCAATATACCTACATATCTCAATATCAATACATAAATTTAAAAAATGTCTGTATTTTATTTAAATGTTACTGTGTTACCTATATTAATTATTGAGGTTAAATTCATGGGCCAACTCAAAAAAATATTCCTTGATGTGAATTTATTTGAGTAATTTATATCTAACAACTGTGTTTCATATTAATATTTTCATCGTATCAATAAAATATTGTTATGAAAAATGTCAGTTATACAATCATATATTCAAACATTTGCCTGTCAGAGATCGTTATATAGGTATACCTATCTATACATACGCATTTGCATAATATATACTCAGAGTTGGATGTATACAGGGTTTTTTAATTAAAAACAATTCGTTCAGAAAAAAAAAAAAAATACAAAATTACACAAGTACGATTTTTGCCATAAAATTACTGAAAACGTATCTATTGTAGTACATTTTGTTCTCCATTTTAATTTATACAAATATAGTCTTTACAATTCATTTTAAAATTGTGATGCCTTTGCTATAAATTGGATACAATTACGAAATAGACAAAATCATCTATCGTTACATTAAGTTCAGCAGCAGAAAATTATATTTTCGATCAAATTAATACATGGCTACCTAAGAAGTTCAGTAGGTACATATGAATTGGATTGCTTCTAAAAACCGTTTAATTTGTAGGTATCCAGGAAAACTAATCGACCAGAGATAATCAAAAAAATGGTGATACTGAATTTAAAAATAAAACGATAATACAATTGTATTAACTAATATAAGGCATGTATTTATAGAGTTTTTGAATCTTATGAATAAATTATATTTTCATTATACAAGTAGAACTGTGTTTTGTTGTTGTAAAGGTTGTGCATTTTTATTTGAAAATAAGAAACAAACTGAATTAAGCAAATATGCCAACAAGTCGTAGAGATAATTAAGTTTTTGTAGGGTGATGGAAATTGCTTTATAGTTGACAATACCAGAGAGCTGTGGGAGAGTATCACATTACTCTCACGGTACCTTCACCTGTCGTAAGAGCCAACAAATGGGGTAACGTCAGGTCGATAGCTGGTGTAAAAGTTGTCAAATAGTATATGAGTTCTAAACAAGACTTTGGGTGTCTGTCTCATCTCATATATACTTTGGGACAGCAGGTGAGAGAATGGACAGTAGTCTATGGTGTTTTCAGATGATATATAGCTTAAAAAGGAGACAATCTAGAATAGGTTAAGGTATAATAAGCTTAAGGAATGAAAAATAGCACTTGAAGAAAAGGGACTAAGAATAAGTTGAAATAAAACAGAATATAAGTTTGAAGGAACAGGACAGGACAGCTAACGACAATAAACAATTATAGGCGAGGTTGAGAGTTTTGAGTACCTAGAATACTTTGTACAAAAAAACGGTGTATTCCATGGGAATGTGAAACATAAGTTCGAATTTAAGTGTGGTTCAATAAAGTAAAGAGAAGGGTCAATAAGTGTTTTATGTGACAAGAGAGTTCCAACGAGACTCGAAGTTAAGTTTTACAAAAATGTGGTGATAGTTTAGCGGATAGACAGAAAAATAGAACAAAGAATGATTGTAACAGAAATGAAAATATTTATGTGGATAAGTAGAGCGATGCGAAAAATAGAATAAGGGATAAGTACATAGGAGATAGCCTAGACATGGCTCCCATAGTAGACAAAACATAAGAAAATAAACTGAGGTGGTTTGGTTCGGTCTTATCACGGGGAGAGTGAAATCTGATGCAGTAAGAGTTGTAATGGAAATAAAAATAGGAGCAAAGAGGTAGATAGGAAGACCGTAAATGAAATAGTTGGATGCGATTGAGAATAATATGAGGACAGTCAATGTCTATGAGGCGGGAGATCGGGTCAAGCGGTAAACCACACATCATAGCAAAATCAACAGATCCCTCGCTACGCTCCGAATCTAAAATTAAAAAGCGCATATCATATTAAAAAAAATACATTCCTCCGCTGAAAAAACCATAATACATCATAATACCAGAATCATAAACTCGTGCGAATTGTCCGTTGTCAATATTTCTTTTCCAATACAATTTTAATCAGTTTTTAACGATATGCGCACGAGGCAATATTCTATTGTACGGAAGACAATATTACCGAAATAAGTGTGTATTTCGCATTTCTGTGGGTCTAAGTACTCCATTTAGCTCGTATACGTAAATATACGTCACCTATTCTCGTTATTATATTATTCTTGATTTTTAACTGAACCGTATAGCTACCGTTCTACGAATCCGAGAAATTGATTAAAAACGATACCATGATATGTTTTACCATATCACGATACTTATAATATTATTTTAATATTTTCCATATTAGAAACGTCACCGTCGAAACACCGGCGTATTTCTATGAAGCGAAACTAATTCCGTCGGTATATGATGGCGCTACAGGAATTATTGAAGGGAGATAGGTACCTAATAATATATATATATATATATATTTTTTTTCACTGATTTTAATTAAATTATTCTAACCCCAGAACGGTAATACGACTTAATCCTATTTGCCACTAATATGCTAATATGCGTATCATCGTGTGAGTGTACCTACCAATAATCCGAATTCAAACGAAACAACCGAAACCACCCGAAAATGTACAATATGGGACAATTTTGGAATAACGCGACAATGACTGGATAAAATGATAAAATATTATAATATTTTGAAATTTAAGTGATTTAAGGCACGCCGTTGTGGTCGGCCGTCGGTTTTTCATAGCCTTCGACAATGCCGTACCGGAGAAAAATCCCACGACTAAATATACCTGATTCACTCAGTTCAACTACCTATACATTTGAATCTATCAAAAGTTTTAAATACCCTGTACTTTGGCGGATATATTCGGTCATTTTATAAACTGATGGAAGAATGTTATTGACAAGTGTCACTTCAAATTGTATATTTTATAATACATGACGACTATGTTGTTATAACGATTGTACATTTCCAATAATATTAGATACACAAAATTATATCGCAAAAAAAATGTATCGTTATCAATCTGTATACAATGTTATACAAATTCTGTGAAAAAAAAAAACGCATTTCAAAAATGATTTGACGTTTTTACCAAGTAAAAAAAAACTTGGTTTTTAAACTATAAAATAGCATCAAGTTCCTAGACTGTTTGAATCAGCTATCAAAAAGGTCATTAATTTGTTCTTTTTAATTCAATACAGAATCGCCAACATACGAAAATTTTTTTTTACAAAATCATTGGTTATAGCTTATATCAAAACGAAGAAGGTTATAGAAAATATACAAAAACATATATGCTCAGAAGTCAGCACAGTTTTAGCACAAATATTAAAGATTTGCCTTGTGTATGATGTTAAAATCGACTGTGCTTTACAGGATTACTATCCCATTAAAAAGTTATTGATTCGCCCTCTGACATTAGTTTTTTTTTATCCTAGCCTTTTTCATATAAAGTTGATTTTCCTACACTATTGTACCCGATTAATTTTCAGTTTTCTCCCGTCTTTGAAGATCTCATTTTTTTTCCTTTTCCAATCTCTTCCTCTAACTGACAACAAAATTATCTTTTATATAGCATTATATGACTGGCAAATGAACTTCCCATTTCCTTATTTTGTTGGTTTGTATGATCTTATAGTTTAGTTAGTTAACTAATTTGTCCTTATTCTTTTGGGCTTCGGCCTGTATAATATACAAAACAATATTAGGTACATTATATACCGTGTATACTTAATAGTACATTATATATCTCCTTTTAATTATTATATTATGTAAAATATTTCTATATTATTAAATTGTATAAAACTGTATTCATTATTTTCATGCCGTACAATATAGAAAATCGTATTTATAAACGTTTTCGCACAGCTCTACGAATAATAGGTTATACACAAAACATATTTATTATTATAATTTTCCAAAACAACGATAGGGCTATTGTTTTGAGAATATGATACGGAAAATAGTTTCTGTATACATCCAAACGGAGTTTGAAAAATAAATTTAGCAAGCAGAAATCGAATTATCGAAACCGCTCCCCTTTTTAAAATCGACCAATGACACTGTTCGCGATCGGACAATATTATCTACTTTCTTTCTAAACAAATATTACACTGTTTATTTTTTTGTTGATTATTAAATGATCGTGAAACAGTGCGTATTTCATTGTATTGGCTGCTATTGTTTTCGAATTCACGATAAAATAATTATAAAACAGATCGATAGGTATAGCAATTTGTTTAGTTTTTATTAAAACACATTTATTCAATGTTTGTATTAATTTAATTATTTGATCGTCAAACTGAACAACTTCACTTTTTTGTAATTGGCCAGAAACATAAAAACCAGTTTATTTTTAAAAAAAAATGTTGAATTTACACGATTGTTGCATTGCAATTAATGATTATATTTTTATTGAATTCATTCGATTATTAGATCAAAATTTTAAAATAAGATAATTTCGATTACTATTGAACACCATACTTTTATATCGCATCGGATTCATTATTGACGGCTTTAATGTGTATTCAAATAATAATTACAAGGATATGACACAATATAGTTGCGACTATTTTCGGTGTGTTATTTTGTGGTTTCATGACTATATTTTATTTTTTTGAATTTTTAAACGCGATATTCTAACTGTTCTTGGACCATCGATGCGTAAATGTTACTTATATTCTTTCTTCTCGATTTTTTTCAGCGATCTATCTGCGTTTTAGTAACAGGTACAAGCCATCTACCTACACCAGAAACTATAAAAAAAATTACCTCTATTAAAACGCCATTTTTGTATAATTATTTTCACGATTGTTGCGTAAAACTTTTTCGTGTTAATCTAAAGAGAATAAGAGAGAGAGAGAGTGAGAGAGAGAGAGAGAAAGAGAGAGAGAGAAATAGAAATCATTCCGTTCGTTGTAATTCGACTAATGGCTCTTTATCGTTCCACACGGGATCAAAAATACAAAACGAAATATTAATTTTATAGTGAATAATCCAACCCAGTATTTTATCATGTGGAAAATTTGCGAGTAAAAATGTTATGTAGGTGCGGTATTTAAATAGAAATATCGTTGAAAAATACTTTAAACAAAAAAAAAAATAATAATAATGTAATAATTATAAAATAATTGATACATCATATTTAATCATGATTTATTCTAAAATCCAATATAATAATTCGTCTTCAAAAATTTGTATTTATTTTTTTTTTTTTCTTTTAGTAGCGTATTATTCCGATAGGTGGTTAATTTTTATTATACATCATATGTATACGTACCTAAATGTGATATACGATTTGAATCGATTTAATAGGTGTCCACCCCCCCCCCCCCAAAAAAAAAAAATAATGAAATAATAATATTCAAATTGTAATTAATTTGTTGAAGGCATACAATATATATATATATATTGAATACCGAGCACTAAGAAATAATTTTCCATACCTAGATGTGTATAATATGATTTAACAGAATCCGTTTGACTCATCTCTACCCGATATAATATTTCATAAAAATTTAATTTGAAAAGCGTATTTCATTCCTTCCCTTCTCTCGTTTCTTTCATTATTTAACTTGTTCGTTACATTCCACGGGAACAAAAATACTAATGTTACGAAAAAATTTATAATCATAGTCTATAGTCTGGTAATAATTCATAATTATTATGTGTTTCCACAAACGAAGTATAATGGCCGATAGTAGTTTTTACGAACTGCGTAGAACCGACACGGGATTGAACCACCGTCAAAATATTTTTATCGAACAAACAGATTCACACCAGTGCAGGCATATTCACCGGGGAAGATCCGGTTGATGTATCACTCCCCAGAGCCTATAGCAAAATTCTTCTCGCGTTTTGATAATTTATTTATTAAAATATATCAATTTTCATTTTTGTAATACTATTCGTG